TGACGAGGATGGCGTAGACCTGTGGACAAGGGGACAGTGTCAGCTTCAGAGGGGGCCTGCCGCACCCTGGGCCGAGCCACAGTCCAGCAGCAGCAAAGCAGAATGCGGCAGGTAGGGGGCAGGGGCCCAGGGGGCGCACACAGGGGTACGCACCACACGGCAGGACCCCGCAACCACCTCCTGAGCCTCCACAAATCACAGGGGTGAGTCAGAGGCAGAACAGGGCTGGAGGGCGGGGCTGAGAGGACTCACAGGAAGGTGACAGACCTTCCCCAGGCCTCCTCTCCTCCCCTCGCACTGCAGGGGCCCCCTCGAGGTGTGTGCTGAGACCCCCAAAAGGGAGGGCGAAGGCCTGTCCCCTGGCCATGCCAGTCGCCCCCAGAGTGGGCCGAGGAGGAGGCGGGTCCTGAATGGAGCTGACAGCCACACCCAGACCACCGCTGTCCCTCACCCCGGCTCAGAGCTGGCGGCTCAGAGGCTGGGCTGTAGCAAGAGGCTGGCTGGGGGGCTATCCGAGGCCTCCACCCCTTTGTTGGTGGCTCCCAGGGGCTCAGTTTGAACGAGACCCAATGCCCAGGCGCAGGGAGGGGCGGGGGGCCCGGGGCCTTCCTGCCTGGACCACGCTCGTCCCCGGCGGGGGTGGGAAGGAGCAGACAGCTGGGTGGCTCCACACTGTCCTCGCCCTAGAAGGACCTGTTCTGCCCCAGTTCTGTCTTCCCCTTTCTGAGCCACAAGGACCACCTGCTTCTGCAAACAAGGTGCCGGAGGGGCCGTGGGCACTGGCCCCAAAGGCAGGCAGTGGCTGCCCTGTTAGCACAGTGCCTGCCCTCAGGGTGTGCCCAGCGAGTGACAGCCATTGCGGCACCTTGGCTCGCGGGGCTGGCTGTGCTGGGGAGACAGTGCCCACAGGCAGCAAAATCGTGACTGGAAGAGCGATCCCCAGAAGGGGCCCTACCTGAACCCCTGACTAGTCCTTCACGTCCCTCCCCTCCCACATGGAACGTGGCTGAGCCGCTGGCCACAGAGGCGTCACCCAGGTGGGGGGGGCTCTGCAGGTGGGGAGGGGGACATTTCTGAGCACAGGTCTGGCCTGGCTTCGGCACGTGAGCTGTTTGGACAGGTCTGCCCTCCCCTGGCCCTCTCCTCCAGTCTGCACCCAAAGGCGCCCGGCCGGCGTCTGCACTGGTGTGTGCGTATGACATGAAGGTGTTCGTGAGCAAGTGCTGGGGATGCGTGCGCATACTGGGAGCCCCAGCGTGTCTGTATTTCACATGCACTTGGATGGCTCACAGCCCGGCATGTGTGAACACGCATGTGCCCGTCCACCTGGGTGTGCCAAGCAGTGTGTGGCACATGAGCGCGTGGGTCCGCGGGTGTGTGGGGGGCAGGTGGGCGTGAGTGGGCAACGGATTGTGTGCTGCGGGTGCGCAGGAGTCTCCGCCTCCCTGCACAGACTGGCCTGCGGGGGTGCGTGTCTGGAGGCGAGCGAGCGTGAGCCACACTCCCAGGGCGGCCCTGCCTCTTACATAAAAGGGCTGCAATGCGGAGATCCTGCGGCTTCATTGGCATTCAGCGGCAGCGAGCCCAGGGGGGACAGCTCGGCGCGCACGCGGGTCCTGTCCTCCCCCGCAGCCCTGGCTGCCAGCGCTCCCCTGCTGGGCCCCGCGCCTCCCACACCCGGTCCCACGCCTACCCCCAGCACCTGGGCATTTCCCATCCTGGGCAGACCTGTGGCTGGGGAAGGGGGGG